GCCCATTAATTTATAGTCTTATGACATATAGCATTGTGAAATATAATTGGATAAATGTGCTGTTATCGTGTTATTCATTCAAAGACCGTAATATATTGATATATAGTTTGCAATTGATTCATCTCCTACCACAGTTACAGTCAGACGAAACGACGAAAAAATTATTACTAGTACATTTTTCAATATTTAAACGCCCTTTCTCCAGTACTTAGTGCGGGCCTGCATGCCCTTTTTTCTTAAGGCGTAATCAGGCCTTTAAGTCTTCGTAATCTGTAGGCAGTCACCCCAAATCAACGTAATCTTAGTATTGTTGGAATGCACACATTTGTACCATAAACCATTACACAAGCAGTATGGAACTTTAACTTACAGCAATGGACTCCGACGTCATCGTGGTGTTCACAGTTGTGGTTCCCCCAACCGCGATGTGGGCAGTACTGCAGGGAGCTCTCGTACCCAGAGCAGCCAAGGTCGTCCATCCATATCTGTCCGCTGCCGTGTCCGAAGGCATTACCGTAGGAGGAATAATCAGAGAATCCCAGCTCACGGCAGACGACTAGGGCTTCTCTGTAGTCGAAGTTGTCCTCACAGACAGTCCCCCACTGTCCGTTGTAGTAGACCTCCACTCTGCCGTAGGTTCCGTCTCCGTCCCTCAGTCGGACCTGGAAGTCTGTAGAGTGTGATATGAAGTTTGAAGTTGGTATTTGCCTTTTTATATGATGCTATGAATGCGATCTTTTCAACCTTTCCACAGTTGCCAGTTAGATCCATTGGAACAGTTGAATCTGTGAAGTGTTAAAGACATTTATTTATAAGGGACAGTACGAAATAAAGGGAAATTATATCAAAGTACTTACTGTGATAATAATTAGTATGATCAGCTGGCGTCCACCAGTTGTTCCAGGCCGTGGTCCACCACCAAGTGTCGGGAGCCGTGGTCGGTTCTTCGGTTGTTCCATTAAAGGCTGCATAGAGAATTACAGCAATTATTTATTGGTACTCCAGTAGATTAATGCTAACTGAGCGAAGTACACACACTCACACGCACACACAGACACACACAGACACACACACACACGCACACACAAACACACACGTCATACACACACACAACACCGACAGATTTCAGTCTACAAACCTTGCAAAAATCATAAATGTTTTTTAATCCCATTACTTACCATCACAAATCACACTGACGTCCTCGCTGTGTCCACAGTTGTGGCTCCCCCAACCGAGATGTCGGCAGTACTGCAGGGAGCTCTCGTGCCCGTCGCAGTTCAGGTCGTCCATCCATATCGGTCCGCTGCCCTGTCCGTAGTACGCGCTGTGGTGGTAGGTGCGGTAGGTGGAGAATCCCAGCTCACGGCAGACGACTCGGGCTTCTTGCCACCCGAAGTTGTCGTCGCAGACAGTCCCCCACTGTCCGTTGTAGTAGACCTCCACTCTGCCGTAGCTGTAGCCGTCACCGCCCCTCAGTCGGACCCGGAAGTCTGTAAAACTAGCGAAGTTTAGTCCAAATCCACGACCATCGGGTCACTTTAGTACATGAGCTTTGCCAACAACCAAAATTTACGTAATTTTAAAAGTATACATTACTTTTATAGAAAATTACGCACTACGTGAGTTGTAAGCTTTCATATATGACTTATTGTCAAATGTGCTTTCATAGCACTTACTGTGGTAGTAGTCGGTATTTCCTGCAGGTGCCGTCCACCAGTTGTTCCAGGCCGTGGTCCACCACCAAGTGTCTGGAGTCGTGGTCGGTTCTTCGGTAGTGCCGTTACCATGAATTTCTACAGGGTAAATATTTGTTTAGTGAACTTATTAATGACAGAACTATGTGAATAAAGCACACAACCATTGATGAACCCCACGTGAAAAATAACCACCACCACCAACATCCCTTACAATCAACGAGGACAGTCATGGTAGACTGGTATCGTGTTTTTGATACACCGAATTCATGCGTATACGTATATAGAGGAACTTGATTGCACGACAATTGTACATGTCACAATGTATGGCAACGACTATTGAACATAGTACAAAAATTAAAAAAAAAAACTTTGAAATAATAGTAAACATCTTCATTAACCTTGATATCTAATCCTGAAGCCGCGGGTTACAATAATTTCATCGCTAGTGAAGTGGATCAGAACCTCGTTGGATGAGCTGTAGTAGTAACGCCAGGATCCTGACCCAGTAAGGCTATGAAGTAGACAATAAGTTCGTGTCAGTATTACTAAACATTGCAGATCATGTGCAGTGTAATTACACTTGTTTGAAATAGCCTGGATGCAGCATTTATAGCTTTAATATGCTCTCTTGGTCATTTACCTGCTGGCACCGATTTGGAAATTAGTGTAAATGTCCAAAATCTCGTAACTATTCAAGGTGCTGAATATTTACCGTTCAAGTAGTTGGGAACTGGTAGACCTGCCGTCGTAGACATACAGGTAGTCGTAGCCAGATTCTATGTCGTAATCCTGGACCACAACTTGTATGGTTGATCCAGGAGCTACGCTGATGGTCCACTGGCAGTTGGCGTAGCAAAAGTAGGGACTTGGGTAGTACGGACTTTCAATGACACCTGACGACTGCGTGATGTTTCCACCGCAAGGAATTGTGGGAGGGCCTTCTGTGAGGAAAATTAATGTTGTACGAAATGACGTCTTTTCATTAACATTAGCAGTTTTCATCTGTGTCGGAACGTTTTTGCCTAGTGCCATCCTTGTGTCAATATTTTAGAAAAAAAAAACGAATGTTGTTCATAAGATTCGGACCCACGTTTGAAAGTAACTAACAAGAATATAAAGTTGTGCTGATTTTCAATTCAATAGAAGGGGACAGTAGTTCCTTTTTACGAAACATTTTGCAATCAATGTGACTGTTGCAACAAAACCACGAATAACACATCGGCTTGGTAAATCTAAGTCCGGTTTAAATTACGTACTATGAGTCTTGGGCCCTTGTCGTCTTGCCAGACGAGTGACCAAGTGAAAAATCAATTATATGATTAATGGCTATTTCGACGTTTCCCTTTTCCTGTGGGTAATAGGGAAATATTACAATCGTAGATTGGATGTTTACTTAGATATGGTATCACCCCATACTAGTAGATATAAAGCTTACCTGTTCCCCATGGCCATTCTGTCGTTGGGTCCCACCAGGTGCCATCAGTACTTGCCGACGTCTTTGACACTGTAGCTGTTATAGTTTGTATGTATCTGATGTGATTTACGACTCAGTCATAAATGAGATTATCATATAATACATACCGAAATTATCAACAATGTGTGATACAATATGTGGCAAGTTAAATATACGTTTTGAATGAATTTCTAATGGTTAGGCACTTTCATATAAACTCACTCCACGTTGGCCAAGGTGTAGTTTCAAATGGTGTGGTCCACCAAGCCCTTTCTCGGTTTTCGCCATCTTTATTTCCTGAAAAGTAAAAAAAAAGGTATTTCTTAGCTTTTTAAGTACCATAATATTGATAGCAATTTGCGTATCTTCCCTACAGATATCATAAGTGGGATTTTTGTAGCATTTAACTAGACAGAGGCATTGATGAGAAACACATATCTGGAAATCTTGGGATGTACAGAATTAACATTGGCTCGTGTTTTAACAGTAGTAACTTGCAGCTGTGTAGGGAGCTTTGGGTAGGGGCCAGTACCTCGGGCTTGCACACCGAACCCTGGTTTAACCAGGGACTTGCAACTTGCACCATGATCTGCACATTTGGTTGTCTGTCTGCTGCACCCGAAAGACCATTAGTGGGGTGAGCAGGCACTACTAGACTTCACCCATCCTCTAATGTTGGCTCCAAGCGCCACACCCCGGTACACCGCTTCAGCAGACGGGCGAAACCATGTGAGGGGCCACACTAGTGGTAAGGGCCTGGAGAGGGATAGACTCCACTGGGTAACCTGCTCAAGACACACTGCATGATATGTACACTATAACTACCTCCAGACCGGATCGGCCGACGCCCGGGCTAAAAAGGGCCCCGTCCTCTATCGACCACCAGGGCGGAGATGACGAAAAGTCCGCTACTGGTGAACCACCTCCAAAGAGGTTACGCGGAAGAGCGTATACGTCAATCGCTAGCTACGTGGAATGTCTGAACTCTTTCTCAAACTGGCAAGCTGAAAGAGCTGGAAAGATACGCGTGGCATGTAGTAGGGCTTTGCGAGACCAGGTGGAAAAACAGTGGCGAACAACTGACAGAGGAAGGTCATTTGCTATACTATAGTAGAGAGAGACAGACATGCAAATGGTGTGGGTCTACTAGTGAACAAAGATTCTAAAGACACGGTGATGGCATGCTGCCCAATTAATAGAAGGATGATGAATATCCGTATGCGTGCTTTGCCCTTTAATATCAGAATAATACAGGTGCATGCACCAATATCAGACTACACGACGATGAAGTTGAAAAGTTTTACAACTGCAACTAATCATAGACAAAGCGAACAAAAAAATACATACTGATTATCCAAGGAGATTGGGACGCCAAAGACAGGGTACTACGTCTGCTAGAATTTGTCTCCCACAATGACATGGTGCTTGCAAATACCACAGGGCAGCACAAGGCGTCCAGGTGCTGGACGTGGCGTCGAACAGGGTAGAGTCGTTTAGTACGAAGGCCCATAGGTACACTTAGCATTTTTATTCCACTTTGTATTTTCTATGGGTACTTTGTATTTTCTATGGGTACTTTGTATTTTCTATGGGTACTTTGTATTTTCTATGGGCACTTTGTATTTTCTATGGGCACTTTGTATTCTCTATGGGCACTTTGTATTTTCTATGGGCACTTTGTATTTTCTATGGGCACTTTGTATTTTCTATGGGTACTTTGTATTTTCTATGGGTACTTGTTTTTTTCTGTGTGTACTTCGCGAAGTTTTTTTTGGTGGCTGGCGAAGCGACATTCATTTTGCTTTGATGTGGATGCTCCCATTTTTATTATGGCGGTATATTTCTGTTTACCATTCTAGGCAACTAAATTTATTTTAAACCTATTAAAACATAATATACTTTACACTTTAAGAAAATTTTGCTTTTTTTGCATGCAATGTTCCACACGTTTATTAATTAGGAGTATCAAATAGTGATTATTACATCCTGGCATAGATTATGTTAATGTTGACACAGGACCATACTATTTTCGGGGGTGCTAGGACATATTGTTCAGACTTCCGTCAACATTTCCGTAGCGATATATGGTAAATCACTTCCTC